CTTTCCCCATTCAAACCCAAACTAAATTGGGCAGAACTGAGACAGATGCAGCGCAGTAAATTAAACAAGCAATCTTCTCTGTTGGGTGACAGCACAATGGTGATTAGGGTTTCATGTGAGCGCCCTACATTATTTATGGCGGTGCTGTGGGCTGCTCCAGTTGAATAGACGCACAGTCCATTGACTGGGCACATTACAGGAGGCTGACTTGTCAAGAGGGAGGGGGTTAAAAATGGCTTTATTTCCTCTTGAGGAGGTCTATTTTCATCTAAATGAAGGTGGGAGCCCCCAGCGTGTTGTTTCCAAACCCAGCGTGTGTGAAATGTGTTGACTGAAGTCCAAGAGGCTTCTCTGAGCGCGGCCTGGCTCCGTGTTCTGCCTGATTTCTGCTCAACCTCCAATTTGTACACATCAGCATCTCCTCATTTTCTTGGTGACTGCTCCACTTTGTTGCCAACACACAATTTGTGTGTTTCCTGTATCTCCGGCCGAGGCTAAGCATGGCCCAAACAAATGTCGTTGGTTTTAAATGTGTAACAACATGTACTTATGGATGAGAGATTACTATAGAGTCACATGGTCATGGATCTGAAGTGGCCACGTTAAAATAGTTCTTAATAATGGATGATAATGACCTGGCAGGTGATACATGTCTGTATTATACTGATGCTCATTTAACTTCTCATTTGATTATGTAACTGACATTATATTGTATAAGTGGTTATGCAACAAGTCCGGCTGAATTAGATAGAAGCCTGTTGTATGTTGGCTCTGGGTCACATGTGCCAACTCTGCCAGACGACATCCTGAATTCTGGCTCTAACCACAGCTTCTTCTCTTCTTCATCCTCCAACCATTGTTTTGCTTCCAAACAAGACCCAATTTTGAGCGTTCCACACGTTCAGAATCAAATACAAACTTTTGATTAAACTGTTTATTCAGTGAAATAAATAAATAATCACACTTATGTAACCATCCACTGCTGCTGCCGTTTATTGCCAACCATCTTTTTCCACTTAGTGATCCCAATATTTTTCTTCGTCATATCCTTAGGAGCATCTGGTTACAACTATCGGAGTTCGAAATGTGTTGAATTTCTTGAGCGGGACCCAACGTGGCTCTGGAGTAGCAGCTAGCATAGGTATGATTAATGCTACTAATCACCTCTTGACCCGGAGAGGTTGAGCTTTGGCCCCTAGCCCACCACCCGTCCTCCCAGCTGTCTCCGTCCTGCTCCGTGAAAGCACTTCAATCTACTCCGGGTCCCATACCACAACTCATGCATTTACCAGCAAGTGGAGATTCTGGAAAAGAACTGCAGAATGTGCTTATGACAGAGACACTTCCACAGATTCCACTTGACCTTTTGGACTTCCATATCTCTGCTCTGCGTTCTATATCTCTGCTATTGCAAAGATAACGTTGAGTAAATAAAACACCGCGAGCTTATAGGAAAAAGCATCTGAAATTCCACAGAAAGCACGCACATAGAAAGACCAGGTTATATTTTAAAGACGATTTTAAAAAGCTTTTGTTCTTTCAAAAATCCACCTGATAATGTCGGCTGAAAGAGTTGGATTTACAAGATGAAAGTACGTATTCTGGTAAACTCCACACAATGGCCCAGATTTTGGTGCACGTCCCAGTGAGCCAGCGTGTGTATCTGCGGAGCATTGGAAGTCATTAAGGCGGCATTCACTCGAGGGACCTGTGTAATGGCAGAAAATGAAAGTAGGGCTGAAAGGAATCAAGTTTGAATGATTCAATTACAATAAAAGTTTTACAAGCGCTACACTTCCATCGCCTCCACCACTCGATCATTATTCAAACCTGAAACTACAAGAGCTAATGCCAGCACTTGTTCGACGCTTTTTAACTAATCTTGGTTTTTGAGCAAATGGATGAATGTCCGGGAAGACTTTAGCGCCTTCTTTGGCAGCAAGAACAGGGGGAGGAAAGGGTGAGAAACTTCAGGAAGAACCACAGAGGAGACTGACACACATCTGCAGATAAGAGTTAGATTTAAGAATGATCACGTGAGATTATCAATCCCTTCTTAAAGTCGCAATATGTAAGATTTTCATGTCAAGTCATCATTAAAGGGCCCTAATCTGTCAAAAGGCATTCATAAAACCTGCTCTTTTCCAATACTTCTTTAACTGATAACAGTAGTTCAGAGATATTTAGATTTCAAAATCAGTTTTCCAGCCCCTAAATCTTGTTATTGTTTTCATTTCGATGTCCCGCCCTCTACCGTTTCACCAATCAGAAAGTCTGTGATCCGGGCGCCAGAACTCACCGCGTCGAGCTAATCCCACTGGTAAAGTAGAACCAAAAAAAAATCTTGTTGTGATTCTCAAATCATTAACGACAAAACAAGGAATAAAACCAGGATTTCTATCTTTGTGAAAAAGGTGTTGGTAATAGATTTGTTGTTGACAAAACTCTAAACTGACAAAGTCTATTCAGCTGGATTGGTCTGCATATCTGGCAACCTGAGTCAGGGAGAGTGGGAGAGGCTGCAGTACCACTTTTGGCCACATTTTTACATACTGCTCCTTTAACATATTGACAAAGACTTAATGAGAGGGCTCCAAAGTGCAGGTGTTCAAACAAATTAAGGACTTGTGGTGAAATCAAACAGGAGACACCGCGCACTCTGCCCAGTGTTTATTTTGTGATGTTTGGACCGATATTAACATCCTGCTAACGTTTGTGAAACATAATCAAGAAATCTACAAAGCCACTTGCTCCAAAGTCACTCACATCCGACTCAAAAGAATGATTTACAAGTCAGATTCTACAGCCCGTATTGTATAGCTTTGATTTATGAAAGAAGAAGGAAAGTCTCTAAGCACTCTTCATAAAGTGATGAAAAATAAGTAGAAAATTGCTAAAATTTGACAAAAAGTAATTAAATTTGAGCACTTTTTGACTGCCTTAAAAAAGATTTGCCAAAATGATTGAAGAAATGTCTCACTTGGAATACAAAAACAAAGCAACAGTTCTTGAAATAAGATTAAAATACTAAATACTCATATTTGATCAGTTTTGCAGTGTTAGAAGAGTCTTTGTAAAATCATCTGTTTCTGAAAACTGAGACTCATGTTGGATGTGGAAATGTGTTTTTGATAATACTACAATATAAGTCCATAAAAGTAGGATAAGTAGTGAACAGTGTAAGATGTGAAGTCAAACTGTTGAATAAGCTTCTAAACCCTTTTCACAGCGATGACGACTTTCATGATGAATTTAAATAAAGTTACAGAAAATCAAATCTAAATCTGTGCAGAAATAACGAGGTCACGGATGTTCAGGATCAGAATCAATATAATCAACATCTCGTCTCGATCTCGTCTCGAGGAGATTGTGTGTGTTGGAGCTGTCAGCCTGTACAGTGAACACTTGTGTGTGTGTTGGAGCTGTCAGCCTGTACAGTGAACACTTGTGGCTGCATAGTTAGTGTCTGATACTTATACCTTTTCGTCTTGTGCTGCTGTGAAGCATCATCGATACAAAGTAACTAGCGATAGCCACTGGGGCTGTAGCAGCGAGAACGACGCAGACACCGGAGGCTGTGTGCGTTCAGCACTTTTGAAAAGCCATCAGGTTATTGATTCCCTTCAAGGTCGTCATCAATCGCTCTCTCCTCAGTCTGTTCTCTCTGTGGCTGTGGAGGGAAAGCATGTGGTAAAAACTGTCCAGTTGATTTGGACGAAGAGCGGTATTAAAATAACCACTTTGGCAGCTCCGCTGTGATTGGCTGTCGCTGAGGGGGGCCATGGTGGTGGGAGCCCTGTCTGGCTGTGATTATGTAATCCATTAGGGCATCACCATAACGGAGAGAGGGGAGGGGGGGGCATCAGGCAAAGCTACTGATGATCATCGTCTAGCAACTGCCCGAGGGCTGGAATGTTCTGTGCCCCAAAGTGTCCGACAGGTGGCTCAGAGACGCTCAGAGACGCTCAGAGACGCTCAGAGACGCTCAGAGACGCTCGGAGACGCTCGGAGACGCTCGGAGACGCTCGGAGACGCTCAGAGACGCTCAGAGACGCTCGGAGACGCTCAGAGACGCTCGGAGACGCTCAGAGACGCTCAGAGACGCTCAGAGACGCTCAGAGACGCTCAGAGACGCTCAGAGACGCTCGGAGACGCTCGGAGACGCTCGGAGACGCTCGGAGACGCTCGGAGACGCTCGGAGACGCTCGGAGACGCTCAGAGACGCTAATTGATGAATGATGGGAGTGATGTATGAGCCCAAACAGTCAGAGCAACATAAAGGCTCAGAGCCCAGTGTCGTCCTAAATCATTTCCAACCAGGCCCGTAAACCCAAAACAGTTTCTGTATTAACATATGAAAGGGCAGCGGCAGCGGGACGTCCCCCTGGCCCTTTGTGGAAACACTATTATCACTGGGCAAAGTCTGAATGCTCATCATTTTGTACCAGATGAATAATGACAACAAAGATGATGTTATATTAAGGCTCATTCAGCAACAATGAACGACTGGCATCACCTGCACCTCTCACTTCTGTGCCGTTGAAGCCGTTATGTTTATTTCACTGTGAAACCTGCTGCTGCAGTGATGCTGTGTCTCGGCTCTGACTCTGATCCTCCTGCGGCTGCGGCTAACGCTAACCTTTGATTAGCATCACTGCATACTGTACCTACAGTTTTCCTTAGTCTCTTACTATGTGCACTTATAGTTATATACTTCAGATAATATTGGTTAAAGTAAATATAAGTAGAAACTTGAGTGGCTCTGTACAAAGATTTTATTTTACCCAGAGGCAGGGTTTCAGAAAACAAAAAAAATACATATTTTCTCATATCAGCTCCTTTCATTCCTGCTGTTCTGTAATGCAACAGTTTTCCCTCTGTACCATGTGCATGTTTTCTCATCATAAGTATTAGAGCACGTTACGCCTCTGTAACGTGCTGAGGAGGAGATAACGCTGCATGTGCAATTTTACTGCAGTGTTTGTGCTCTCAGAGCTCACATGGTCCACACCCAGGCCGACTGTGCTCTCAGAGCTCACATGGTCCAGACCCAGGCCGACTGTGCTCTCAGAGCTCACATGGTCCAGGCCCAGGCCGACTGTGCTCTTAAAGCTCACATGGTCCAGGCCCAGGCCGACTGTGCTCTTAAAGCTCACATGGTCCAGACCCAGGCCGACTGTGCTCTCAGAGCTCACATGGTCCAGGCCCAGGCCGACTCTTGTAGAAGGATTGCAGATCTGCAGAGTTCACCTGGCCCATGATGACCATATTTCTGGTGTTCCACATTAGACTGTCAGAGTGCATTAGTCTGTGCTCCCTCAGTGGGCCCAGGTCTTCTCACTCTCGCTGCTTATTTACCATTCCACAGGGGCCTCGCGTGACCCTCCTCATTGTTGTTTTTGGATGACTCTGAAGAACAATGGTGTGCGGGGCCTTGGCCAAAGTGTGTGAATCTGCATGTGTCCACGGGGAGTGCTGTGGTCCCGTGTCAGAAGAGGTTATGTGATCTATGTGTGACTGAAGGGGCTTTCCAGCTCTCAGAGCACAGAGGAACAGAGCTCTGTCTGTGGAGGCCCAGAAGTGACTTAAAGCAACACTCTGTGTCTGTGTCAATGTGAGCTCATGACCTCCTGCAGGGCAGCTCATGGACAACACTCTTACATCCTCACTTCAATACAGAGAGGAGCACACATGGCACCTGCAGTCATGGTGGCTGAGTGGTTAGCACTTTCGCTTCTTAGCAAGAAGGCCCTGGGTTCAAATCCTGGTAGCAGCAGGGTGGAGTTTGCATGCTCTCCATGTGTCTGTATAGGTTTCCTTTGGGTGCTAGGGGGTTTCCCCTATACCACTAAAAACATGTACAAAAGGTAAAACCCTCCAGCTCTGGTCCTGATCAAGCAGAGCATCAACATCTGGAGATGGGTCCCTGGGCTCTGTTCTAACGTTAACCACTGCCCCATCGGTGAGGAAGGATGAAGGATGAAGGATGGGCAAACGCAGAGGACTAATTTTCTACAGGGACAATAGTTGAACAAAACAAATATATATGTATCAGTTTGAAGGGAACAATAGCACAGTACATAAGAGCTGTGTGTGCGTGAGGGTCTGCTGCTGCTGCTGCTGGTGCTGCTGCTGCTGCTGCTGCTGCTGCTGGTGCTGCTGCTGCTGCTGCTGCTGGTGCTGCTGCTGCTGCTGGGGCTGCTGCTGCTGGTGCTGCTGATGCTGCTGCTGCTGCTGCTGCTGGGGCTGCTGCTGCTGCTGCTGGGGCTGCTGCTGCTGGGGCTGCTGCTGCTGCTGCTGGTGCTGCTGATGCTGCTGCTGCTGCTGCTGGTGCTGCTGGTGCTGCTGCTGCTGGTGCTGCTGCTGCTGGGGCTGCTGCTGCTGGGGCTGCTGCTGCTGGGGCTGCTGCTGCTGCTGCTGCTGCTGCTGGTGCTGCTGCTGCTGCTGCTGGTGCTGCTGGTACTGATGGTGCTGCTGTCTAGTGCATCAGTACAGTGTTGCCTGTTAGAACAGCCTGCTGCAGTGTGTTGTGTGTTTGCGTGGCTCTGTATTGTGTGTTTGTGTGGCTCCGTGTGTGATGTCCTCCTCGGGTGAGTGTGTGCTGTATGACGTGTCCCCTCAGTTTGGTTGGAGCTGTGATCACCGCCGGCGACTCCTGTCCAGTGTGATCAGTGCGGTGAGTCCCAGTGCTTGACCACCCAGACACTTCCCACTCACTGCATAAACGCCTGTCACTGCGGGCCTGGACCCGACTCCTGCTTCTGCTCCACAACGTCAGGATGTGGTGAGATTTGGTTACATGACGGCTTTGACACACACCGACTGAGAGTTTCTGTTGGATTTGATATATTGTGAGAAGTGGAGTCTTGTTGTTTTCTATGGACAACTGGAGCCGTTAGAGCAGAGGGTGTCGGGCTCATTCTGGTCAGAGTTTGTTTGAAGCTAGTCTTGTGCATCTGTACAACATTTTTGAGATTTTTTTTCTTAAAATATAGCATAACAAACCTTTTTTTTAATCTAAAACAAGAAAAGTTGTCTGGAAATAAGAAATCTCACTGCTCAGACTTTTTTCTCTTATAAGATTATGAAGTATTATCTTAAAACTAGTAAAATAATCTCACAGGACAAACTACATTCAAATAAACAAAAACTTGCCACTAAAAAATAAGCATCATTTATGTTATTATAGTAAGTAAATCAAACTCTTTATATAGAGATGGATAAAGTGTTGTCTATAGTCCACAGGTTGATGGTGCGATCCTTAGTGCAGCACACAGGCAATGTCGACTGTAGTCTCCATTTTGGGGAGACGGGGCGCTCTCTTACGCCTCAGATTATACCAAATAATTACTTTCATTGAACATGAGTTTGGATATTCTTTTCTGCTGCTTTATTTTGAACAAAATGAGATCAGTTTCTTTTTGATTGGATTGAACCAACGTTGAACTGAGCGGCTCTAAGAAACTCGTATTAGTCTAAGTCTGTTTTGTGCTTTACAGTTGTAGTTTTTCTTGCTTTCTTCTACCCGTAAATGTTTCTGCAGTACAGTGTTCCTAGTTTAACACTGATCCAGACCAGAGCAGAGTGGATTCTTTTGTATGAACGCATGTGTTTCTGCTGCTGGACACCTGAAATTCTCCTGCGGGTGATCAATAAAGTATGTATCTATCTGTCTGTCTGTCTCATTCAAACATTTCTCACTTTTCTCCCACTGGAGTTTTTCCCCGGAGGGTCTAAGGACAGTGGTGATGATCCAGAACACTTAAAATTCAACGACATTTGGTCTCTGCCCCTAATGGATCAATGGCTCTATGTGTTTTTTATCATTGCGTTTCTTTACTTTGAAGTGTTTGATTCTGTAAAGTCCTCTGAGATAACCGCTGTTGTGATTCTGCATTGAATTATTCTGTATGATCATGGTCAAAATCGGTCAGTTATGTCCCCTTTAATCCTTCATTGACTCTGTATCATTTTGTATCCTCTGACGTGACTGCTGTAAGATCCCGGTGCCAGTGTCAGATCCTGGTTTCTTGCCCATATTGACAATCTCACAGCTTGTCTCGCTGAGCAGAGCAAACAGAACGGCCAACAGTACGTTTTTACATGATTGGACTTTTCAGACGTACGTGATCCTCTACATCAGACGCAACAGCCCGAACTTTTGTTTACAAGTTATCTGGAAATGCTGTCATTTCACCAGTGAGAGCTCTGCAGACTGATCCACCCTGGCTGTGTGAAGGAGAGGATCTGCAGGTCTTTGCTTCCTGCTGCTGTCAGACTGTACAATGAGAACTGCTGAGCCTGTCATCTCTCAGCTGTAATGAGTAAATACTGGAATCTTGTGCAATTTCAGAATGCCCTCTAAACTTGATCTACTTCTATTATCCTGCCACAAAACTTTACTTATAGATGGATAGATATATTGTTTCTCTCATGAATCGTTTACTGCTAGCTCAGAAACATAGCAGCTACGTATACTATATATTTTGTGTGCTTTTCACAGACCAGAGTCACAAAAGGCTTTACCACTCCACACAGAGATGGGCCAGGTCATGCAGAAGGCACAAGCCAGACCTTTTGTACAAGTTTTTGGTGATAGGGAAAACCGGAGCACCCGGAGGAAACCAGAGCAGACACAGGGAGAACATAGAAAACTCCAAACGGGATTAAAACCCAGGACCTTTTTGCTGAAAAGTGAGAGTGCTAACCACTCAGCCACCCAGTTTAATGTACTTATTATCCTGCCCTATATGTACATAACTTCAGATATTACTTGTTTCTCCCGTGAAGCTTAGAAGTGCATATTGTGTGTGCACTTGACACTGTCCTGCATGTGCGCTGCAAGATTGACATTTGTGGGGTTCTTTTTCACTATCAAGAGAAAGAGGACATCCCTGGATCGTTGCATTGATTGTAGAACCAACATTTTTACTCGAATGAATGTTTTTCCCGCCTTTTTGAAGTGCTCATAGTAACCAGTCCCAGACCACCAGTCCAGCTTTATGAGCCTGAGCCAGATCTTATTGCTTCATATTTGCGGCACTCTTGCCACTTCCCAAAATAACTACTCGGCCATAAACGTATTCAAGCCGATGGTGACAATCTTTTAAACGGTTGTAGATTCAGCCACAGCGGATAACACAACACAACTGCTTTCTATTAAGAGCCTAAGTGTTCTTGATGTTGTTAGACTGGAAAAGGTCCTAATTCCAGCCTGTGTAGCTCAAAGAGAAGCATTAGTCCGAGTCCTAATGTTAAGACGGTGGTTATGAGGCGTGCGGCGGCTGTGTTCATGGGTCTGTGTGAGATTCTTCCAGTGCTTGTAAAATGACATGAAGGTCACTTTGGTCTGCAGGGAGGGACTCTTCGTACGACTGTCAGATCATGCCCCAATTAAAATGCACTCATTACCACGCTTGTCACAAAACATCTGTCCTCATGCAGCTCTTTGCTCTTCGCTGGATTCAGAACGGCAGCGGGATTCTGTGAGCGGGAAAGAAAAACCGAGCAAAAACTGATTCTGAGGAGAATGTGGGTTTGATGTTTATACTTTTGTAAAAGATGGATCCATACGTCCTGACTTTGTACACTTTTTTTCCTGTATCAACCGCGGTCGTTTCGGAGGACTCCACAAAGTTGTCTCTTCACCGTCAACGGATCAGAGAATAAAGCAGTTAAAACACAGATAAAATGCAATAATAACAAACACATAGAAGCCATTGGTCCGTAAAGAGTTTGTAAATTGTGTCTGTGTGTGTGAGTGTGTGTGTGTGTGTCTGTGTGTGTGAGTGTGTGTGTGTAGGTGTGTGTGTGAGTGTCTGTGTGTAAGTGTGTGAGTGTCTGTGTGTATGTGTGTGAGTGTCTGTGTGTAGGTGTGTGAGTGTCTGTGTGTATGTGTGTGAGTGTCTGTGTGTAGGTGTGTCTGTGAGTGTCTGTGTGTAGGTGTGTGTGTGTGTCTCTGTGTGTGAGTGTCTGTGTGTAGGTGTGTGAGTGTCTGTGTGTAGGTGTGTGAGTGTCTGTGTGTGTGAGTGTCTGTGTGTAGGTGTGTCTGTGTGTGTGAGTGTCTGTGTGTGTTAGTGTGTGTGTGTTAGTGTCTGTGTGTAGGTGTGTGAGTGTCTGTGTGTAGGTGTGTGAGTGTCTGTGTGTGTGAGTGTCTGTGTGTAGGTGTGTCTGTGTGTGTGAGTGTCTGTGTGTGTTAGTGTGTGTGTGTTAGTGTCTGTGTGTAGGTGTGTGAGTGTCTGTGTGTAGGTGTGTGAGTGTCTGTGTGTGTGAGTGTCTGTGTGTAGGTGTGTCTGTGTGTGTTAGTGTCTGTGTGTAGGTGTGTGAGTGTCTGTGGGTGTGAGTGTCTGTGTGTAGGAGTGACTTTGTGTGAGTGTCTGTGTGTGTGTGAGTGTCTGTGTGTAGGTGTGTGAGTGTCTGTGGGTGTGAGTGTCTGTGTGTAGGAGTGACTTTGTGTGAGTGTCTGTGTGTGTGTGAGTGTCTGTGTGTAGGTGTGTGTGTGTGTGTGTCTGTGTGTGTGAGTGTCTCTGTGTGAGTGTCTGTGTGTAGGTGTGTGTGTGTGTCTGTGTGTGTGAGTGTCTGTGTGTGTGAGTGTCTCTGTGTGAGTGTCTGTGTGTAGGTGTCTGTGTGTGTGAGTGTCTGTGTGTGTGAGTGTCTCTGTGTGAGTGTCTGTGTGTAGGTGTCTGTGTGTGTGAGTGTCTGTGTGAGTGTCTGTGTGTGTGAGTGTCTGTGTGTGTGTGTGTCTGTGTGTGTGAGTGTCTGTGTGAGTGTCTGTGTGTGTGAGTGTCTGTGTGTGTGAGTGTCTGGGTGTAGGTGTGTGTGTGTGAGTGTCTGTGTGAGTATCTGTGTGTAGGTGTGTGAGTATCTGTGTGTAGGTGTGTGAGTGTCTGTGTGTAGGAGTGACTTTGTGTGAGTGTGTGTGTGTGTGTGGTTATGTGATGTGTATTTTATGTATGTGCGTTAACATTTGAACATATAGTAAATGCATAACAAAAACTGTTTGCACAACGGCCCGTGCACCGCACCAGTGCACGCCACAAACACTTTAGTTCCGTCAGTTCTTCAGGACGCACGTCGCACAAAGACGTCGTTTGTCTGTGCGTCTGACCGTCACGTGCTCCTTTAAACACAAATGGGTTCAAATCCCTCACTTCTTCCCGTTGCTTATTGCCGCATCCTTTCGGCCGAGTCCAGATGACATACCACATTAGCTCAGTCCGGCCGGGGGGGATTTCTGGGACGCCACCTGATTCACTTTGCTGTAATCGAGTTGTGTCTTTGCTTCTGTGCTCGCCGCCGCCCTCTGTACGTCTCACACATCCAGGAACGGGGAGGAGACGTCAGCGCCAGTGAAGGAAGGAAAACGGTCGTAAGGATTTTTGGTGCTGCCAAGTGAGGGCCGGGGAGTCGCTGTGTCTGCTCCGTGTGGATGTGGGCCACGGAGCTCACGGTTTCCAATAGAGTTCTTTCTGCTTATCCTCCAGAGCTCAGGAGCCGCGATCGATTCAAGGCGAGATTTCTCTGCCCAAGGACCGGGAGATTGACGTTTTTGGGGTAAGCCCAAATTTGTCGCTCCTGTCAGTTCTGGGTAATTGGACTTGTTCACACTCTACATGTGTGTGTACAGAACAGTGTAGGAGGGTTTTGTGGTTCTGCTCAACCCTGGAATCAGACTAAAAACTCGTATTCAAAGCT